TGGGAGAAACATGGTCAGAATCTTCAGTACTGACATCATAATGGAGTTTGGCCTAGACCAGTGTTTCTCAACCTGGGGGTCAGGACCCCTGGGGGGGGGGGGCGCGAGGGGGTTTCAGAGGGGTCACCAAACACCATCAGGAAACACAGTATTTTCTGTTGGTCATGGGAGGCATGTGTGCCAAGTTTGGTTCAATCCCATTGTTGATGGGGTTCAGAATGCTCTTTGATAGTAGGTGAACTATAAATCCCAGCAATTACAACTCCCAAATGTCAAGGTCTATTTCCCCCAAACTCCACCAGTGTTCACATTTGGGCATATTGAGTATCCATGCCAAGTTTGGTCCAGATCCATCATTGTTTGAGTCCACAGTGCTCTCTGAATGTAGGTGAACTACAACTCCCAAACTCAAGGTTAATGCCCTTCAAACCCTTCCAGTATTTTCTGTTGGTCATGGGAGTTCTGTGTGCCAAGTTTGGTTCAATTCCATCGTTGGTGGCGTTCAGAATGCTCTTTGATTGTAGATGAACTATAAATCGCAGCAACTACAACTCCCAAATAAGATCTATTTTCCCCAAACTCCCCCAGTGTTCACATTTGGGCATAATGAAGATTTGTGCCAAGTTTTGTCCACAGTGCTCTCTGGATGTAGGTGAACTACAACTCCCAAACTCAAGGTCAATGCCCTTCAAACCCTTGATTATAGGTGAACTCTAAACCCCAGCAAGTGCAACTCCTAAATGACAAAATCAAACCCCCCTAACCCCACCAGTATTCAAATTTGTGCGTCTCTGGTATTTGTGCCAAATTTGGTCCCGTGAATGAGACTACATCCTGCATCTCAGATATTTACATAACGATTCATAACAGTAGCAAAATGACAGCAACAAAAATAATGTTATGGTTTAGGGTCAACACAACAGGAGGAACTGTATTCAGGGGTCTCAGCATTAGGAAGGTTGAGAAACACTGGCCTAGACAAATGCACCACAGTGGCATTAAAGAATGGGAAAATTACTCATAGTGAGGGCGTAGAGATGCAATCAGCCTGAAGCCTATACATATCTGGGCATACTACAGTTGGACAATATCAAGCATGGGCATGTGAAAAATGTGGTGAACAAAGAATATATCCAAAGAGTCAGAAAGATTTTGAAGAGCAAATTAAATGGTGGAAATACGATCAAGGCTATCAACACCTGGGCCATCCCCGTCATCAGATACACTGCTGGAATTGTGAACTGGATGCAAGCAGAGCTGGATGATCTGGATAGAAAAACAAGAAAACCGGTGACAATCCACTACTTGTGACACCCACGTAGCGATGTTGACAGACTTTATGTACCCAGAAAATCAGGAGGCAGAAGGCTTCTGCAAGTGAAACAAACGGTAGATGAAGAGAAACATATACTGGCAGATTATGGGAAAACACTGGTGGACATCAATAGTAAAAAAAACTGCTTAAAGTACAAGAGACAAAGAGAAAATAAGCTTGGATCTCATAAATTGGTGCACCAGCCCTCCTCCCAGGGCTTGGTGGTTAACACAATAAGAGGGAAAGACTGGTGGGCAGAGCATAATGCCACACCTGCTTCATATAGGATCTCAACCATCACAAATTCTGAATGGTTCTAGTGTTTTGTTGGTTGTTTCCTTGTGGGTGGATAATAATCTTCCTGCAGAGTGGAAAGATAAGCAGGTTGGGGATGAACAGGGCGACAGAAATTTATTAACAAAGTCAGGAAGCGGAAAGACAAGTTTTTAGTTGATTTTTATCTCCTGAGCAATTTGCCTTGGCTGATCCAAGGGATTGCGCGAAGATTCAAAGCAAACAAATACAGTAGTTTTCTTCATAAAAGCATAGAATCCTAAAGTGGAAGAGACCCCAAAGGCCATCCAATCCAACTTCTCATGATAATTACAGTCCTTCTGACAAATGGCCATCCAGCCTCTATTAAAAACCTTCTGGAGATTGAGACTCCATCAAACTCCCAGGCAGCAGCATATTCCACAGTTGAACAGTTTTACTGTCAGGATATTTATTATTATTCCTACCAGTGTTTTTCTTTGTCAATTTGAATCTGTCCATGGAGAGCTGCCTTTTGCCAGTTTTCTCTTCTGCTCTGCACCGTATTTTTACAGAATTCAGTCTTTGTCTTTTGCACTTGAAGCAGTTTTCTACTATCGACTTCCATCAATGTTGGTTCTTGACTGCCTTTCCCATAATCTTCCAGTGCGTCTTCGACCATTGGTTTCCCTTGCAGAAGTCTTCTGCCTCCTGATTTTCTGGGCAGGTCAAGCCTGCCAATATCGCTTTGTTGTTCATTCGTTCAGTCCTTCCGACACTTCATGACCTCATGGACCAACCCACGCCAGAGCTCCCTGTCGGCCATCACCACCCCCAGCTCCTTCAAGGTCAGTCCAGTCACTTCAAGGATGCCATCCATCCATCTTGCCCTTGGTCGGCCCCTCTTCCTTTTGCCTTCCACCCAGCATAATTGTCTTCTCTAGGCTTTCCTGTCTCCTCATGATGTGGCCAAAGTACTTCAACTTTTTCTGTATCCTTCCCTCCAATGAGCAGTCGGGCTTTATTTCCTGGAGGATGGACTGGTTGGATCTTCTCGCAGTCCAAGGCACTCTCAGAACTTGCCTCCAGCACCACAGCTCAAAAGCATCGATCTTCCTTCGCTCAGCCTTCCCTAAGGTCCAGCTCTCACATCCGTAGGTGACTACAGGGAATACCATGGCTTTGAGTAGGCAATGGATCTTTGTTGCCAGTCTGATGTCTCTACTCTTTACTATTTTATCGAGACTGGACATTGCTCTCCTCCCAAGAAGGAAGCGTCTTCTGATTTCCTGGCCACAGTCTGCATCTGCAGTCATCTTTGCACCTAGAAATACAAACCCTGTCATGGCCTCCACGTTTTCTCCCTCTATTTCCCAGTTGTCAATCATTCTTGTTGCCATAATCTTGGGTTTTTTGATGTTTAGCTGCAACCCGGCTTTTGCGCTTTCTTCTTTCACCTTGATTAGGAGGCTCCTCAGCTCCTCCTCGCTTTCGGCCATCAGAGTGGTGTCATCTGCATATCTGAGGTTGTTAATGTTTCTTCCAGCAATTTTCACCCCAGCCTTGCATTCATCAAGCCCCGCACATCGCATGATGTGTTCTGCATACAAGTTAAAAAGGTTGGGTGAGAGTATGCAGCCTTGCCGTACGCCTTTCCCAATCTTGACCCAGTCTGTTGTTCCGTGGTCAGTTCTGACTGTTGCTACTTGGTCCTTGTACAGATTCCTCAGGAGAGAGAAGGTGGCTTGGGATGCCCATACATACCACCAAGAACTTGCCACAATTTATTATGATCCACACAGTCAAGCTGGGTAGATGCGGGAAATGACGTGGATGTAGCGTGTCTGGATTTCAGTAAGGCCTTCGACAAGGTCCCCCACGACCTTCTGGCAAGGAAACTAGTCCAATGTGGGCTAGGCAAAACTACGGTGAGGTGGATCTGGAATTGGTTAAATTGATGAACCCAGAGGGTGATTCTCCCCAATGCTTCCTCTTCATCCTGGAAAGAAGTGACGAGCGGAGTGCCGCAGGGCTCCGTCCTGGGCCCGGTCCTGTTCAACATCTTTATTAATGACTTAGATGAAGGGCTAGAAGGCAGGATCATCAAGTTTGCAGACGACACCAAATTGGGAGGGATAGCCAATACTCCAGAGTACAGGAGCAGAATTCAAAACGATCTTGACAGATTAGAGAGATGGGCCAAAACTAACAAAATGAAGTTCAACAGTGACAAATGCAAGATACTCCACTTTGGCAGAAAAAATGAAATGCAAAGATACAGAATGGGGGACAATGCCTGGCTTGAGAGCAGTACGTGTGAAAAAGATCTTGGAGTCCTCGTGGACAACAAGTTAAACATGAGCCAACAATGTGATGTGGCGGCAAAAAAAGCCAATGGGATTTTGGCCTGCATCAATAGGAGCCTAGTGTCTAGATCCAGGGAAGTAATGCTCCCCATGCTCTATTCTGCTTTGGTTAGACCACACCTGGAATATTGTGTCCAATTCTGGGCACCACAATTCAAGAGAGATATTGACAAGCTGGAATGTGTCCAGAGAAAGAGGGCGACTAAAATGATCAAGGGTCTGGAGAACAAGCCCTATGAGGAGCGGCTTAAGGAGCTGGGCATGTTTAGCCTGAAGAAGATAAGGCTAAGAGGAGATATGATAGCCATGTATAAATATGTGAGAGGAAGCCACAGGGAGGAGGGAGCAAGCTTGTTTTCTGCTTCCCTGGAGACTAGGACAGGAAAAATGGCTTCAAACTACAAGAGAGGAGATTCCATCTGAACATGAGGAAGAACTTCCTGACTGTGAGAGCCGTTCAGCAGTGGAACTCTCTGCCCCGGAGTGTGGTGAAGGCTCCTTCTTTGGAAGCTTTTAAGCAGAGGCTGGATGGCCATCTGTCAGGGGTGATTTGAATGCAATATTCCTGCTTCTTGGCAGAATGGGGTTGGACTGGATGGCCCATGAGGTCTCTTCCAACTCTTTGATTCTATGATTCTATGTGAGAGCCGTTCAGCAGTGGAACTCTCTGCCCCGGAGTGTGGTGGAGGCTCCTTCTTTGGAAGCTTTTAAACAGAGGCTGGATGGCCATCTGCCAGGGGTGATTTGAATGCAATATTCCTGCTTCTTGGCAGGGGATTGGACTGGATGGCCCATGAGGCCTCTTCCAACTCTCATCCCCTTCAGCCTGAGGAGATTCCCTCCTTCAGGGGGAGGAGGGGGTGGTTGCCACGGCAACGGGAGTGGGCCTGGCTAGTGAGCGCCCCCTGCCTGTGGATTATCCAGTTTGGGGAAGCAGGAAGCGAGCAAGAGAGAGAGCGTGCGCGCGAAGCCCGGTTGCTGCGGCAACGAAGGGTGGGGGCGGGGCCTGGCACGCGGCGGCCGGCTTCCGTCCGACGTCGGCACTTCCGGCGTTGCTTGTTCTCTTCCAGAGGCGAGGTTGGTCGCCCATGGCAACGAGGGCAGGCCCGGCCCGCTCGTGGGCCTAGCAGTCCGCCGCCGTGCCCCGCCTCGAGTGGGCGGCAGGCCGGGCGGGGCCAGCTCGGCCAGGGCCTCTTCTGGAGCGCCCTCCTCCTCCTCCTCCTCCTCCTCCTCTGCCTTCTCCACCAGCCATGGCTCCCGCCGGCGACCGGGATGGCTATTGGGGCCCCCCCACGTCCACCCTCGACTGGTGCGAGGAGAACTACGTCGTCTCTTACTACATCGCCGAGTTCTGTGAGTACGCCCTCGTTCACACGTGCGCGCCAGACACGCGTCTTCTCCCCAGTCTCTCTTCTCAAGCTTCCTAATGCCGCAGTCCCTTAATATAGTTCCTCATGTTGTGTTGACCCCAATTATTTTCGTTACTTTGAGTTTTCCGGGCTGTATGGCTATGCTCCAGAAGCATTCTCTCCTGACGTTTCGCCTGCATCGATGGCAGGCCTCCTGGGCTGTATGGCCATGCTCCAGAAGCATTCTCTCCTGACGTTTCGCCTGCATCGATGGCAGGCCTCCTGGGCTGTATGGTCATGCTCCAGAAGCATTCTCTCCTGACGTTTCGCCTGTATCTATGGCAAGCGTCCTCAAAGGTTGTGAGGTCTTTTGTAAACTAGGAAAATGGGATTTATATATCTGTGGAATAATGTCCAGGGTGGGAGAAAGAACTCCTGTCTGTTTGAAAGAGGTGTGAATGTTTCAATTGGCCACCTTGATTAGCATTTAATGGCTTAGCAGTTAATAATAAAAAAAATAATAAAACTTTATTTACACCCCGCATTTCCCGAAGAAAGATAAAATAGTGGATACTCCTTTTTGGAATTATTAATAATAATGATAAACAACTTTATTATTATTATAAACAAAAACAATAAACAAAAAACAATAAATACAATACAATTAATAAAATCACATATAAACAATAACCAATAAACCGTAACACACAAGGATTTAAAAACCTATGGCCAGGCCAAACGCAATAGTTTAAAAATTAAAAAATAAACGCTGGGCATGAACAAGGTAGGATATAGCTGGTATAGGATTGGGTTGTTGTAGGTTTTTTCAGGCTGTATGGCTATGGTCTAGAGGCATTCTCTCCTGACGTTTCGCCTGCATCTATGGCAAGCATCCTCAGAGGTAGTGAGGTCTGTTGGAACTAGGAAAAAGGGTTTATATATCTGTGGAAAGACCAGGGTGGGGCAGAGGACCCTTGTCTGCTGGAGCTAGGTGTGAATGTTTCAACTGCCCACCTTCATTAGCATACAATGGCTTGACAGTGCCTGGAGCAAACTTTTGTTGAGAGGTAATTAGATGTGCCTGATTGTTTCCTCTCTGTTGTTGTGCTGTTGCAATTTTAGAGTTTTTTAATACTGGTAGCCAGATTTTGTTCATTTCCTCCTTTCTGTGAAATTGTCCACATGCTTGTGGATTTCAGTGGCTTCTCTGTGTAGCCTAACATGGTGGTTGTGAGAGTGGTCCAGCATTTCTGTGTTCTCAAATAATATTCTGTGTCCAGGTTGGTTCATCAGGTGCTCTGCTATGGCTGACTTCTCTGGTTGAAGTAGACGGCAGTGCCTTTCATGTTCCTTGATTCGTGTTTGGGCGCTGCATTTGGTGGTCCCTATGTAGACTTGTCCACAGCTGCATGGTACAAGGTAGACTCCAGCAGAAGTGAGAGGATCCCTCTTGTCCTTTGTTGAACGTAGCATTTGTTGGATTTTCTTGGTGGGTCTGTAGATAGTTTGTATGTTGTGTTTCCTCATCAGCTTCCCTATGCGGTCAGTGGTTCCCTTGATGTATGGCAAGGACACTTTTCCTCTGGGTGGATCTTCATCTTTATAGGATTTATAGGATTTTCAATGAGAGAGGAGGGAGCGCAGTCAATCCTAAACCAATAGTAAAGTACATTCTGAGGACATATTGCTGGGAATTTTCCTTATTCTGGGAAGGCTCACTGGAACAGCCACGTTTTCGGACTCCTCCTAATGACTAAAGTTTCAAGGTCTGGCTTCTTACTGCCTGGGGGAATCCTTTGTTGGGAGAACAAAATCTGGTTACCCGTATTAAAACTCTAAAATCATAATAGTAAATGAAGAACAACTCTCGAAAAACAGGGGAGTTCCAGGCAAGAAACAACAGGACTGCTGCTTAACTCCATCCCTTAGGACTGTCCACGTTTGTGTGACAATGTTGGTCTCCAAAGTACAGGCCGTCCCTGAGTTACAAATAACTCCTAGTTAAGAATGGGGCTGAGACAACAGGGAGGGAGAGGAATCTATCCTTTGGAAGGGAAGTTAACTCCTGAATGGGCTTCAAGGGGAAAAAGAGTCTCCACTGAAGCTTTTATTTCCAATTCTTGTATCCAGGCAGGGTGAGGGAGATTATAATATAATAACTGCTCAAGCAGGGAGTTTTGAAATGGTTGAACAGAAGCTCTCCCAAGCTCTAGGTGCTCTTACTGCCTATTACAGGGGAAACCAGCTGATTCCTAATCCATCTAAAACGCAGACTTGTGCTTTTCACCTTAAGTACAAACAGGCACCTTGAGCTCTGAGAATTACCTGGGAAGGAATCCCACATTGCAGCACACAAACATACCTGGTAGTCACTCTGGACTGTGCTCTGACTTACAAGAAGCACTGCTTGAATATCAAGCGGAAAGTTGGTGCTAGAAATAATATTGTATGAAAGCTGACTGGCACAATTTGGGGATCACAACCAGACACAGTGAAGACATCTTCCCTTGCGCTTGGCTACTCTGCTGCTGAATACGCCCCCCCCCCCCAGTGTGGAATACATCTCACCACGTTAAAACAGTGGATGTGGCTCTTAATGAGATATGCCACAATATCACAGGATGTCTATGCCCCACACCATTGGATAAATTATATTGTTTATAATATAATTTGACATTTGCTGGGAAGTAGCAGCCAACAACAAAAGGACCAAGGACCATCCTCTACCCATCTCCAGCTCATCTTCTGTTCAGATATCAGCCAGCATACCAACACCTTAAATCAAAAACAGCTTCCTAAAATCTACAAAAATACTTGTAGGAACAGCTCAGCAAGCGAGAGTCCAAAAGTGGCAGGCTAAAACCCGGAACCGCAATCGGTGGCTGAGACCGGATGAGAAACTTCATCCTCGGCACACAGAAGACTGGGCAATTTGGAAGGCGTTGAACAGGCCACGTTTTCAGGTTTTTTCGTAAGGCTAGGAGAGAGGGAGTCACTCTGATATCCCTGGGCAGAGAGTTCTACAGCCGAGGGGCCACCACAGGGAAGGCCCTGTCTCTCATCCCTGCCAGACGTGCTTGTGAAGCAGGTGGGATTGAGAGCAGGGCCTCCTCTGACAATCTCAAGTCCCTGGTGGGTTCATAGGGAGACATGCATTCGGATAGATTAGCTGGGCCGGAATATAATATAATAAAAATAATAGTAATAAAAAGGGATTGCTAGACTATAAGCAGGGTGGGTGAAAGCCCCTAATATTTCCTTGGAATATTTTTCAGCCAGAAGCATAATTCCTTCTAAAGTTACCCCTCTAGAAGTCATTAAGAGCTGTCAAGCTGTTTGAAAAGGCAGAGGAACGAGAGACCAAATTGCCAATATCCGCTGGATAATGGAGGAAGGCAGGGAGTTTCAGAAAAACATCTCTGTTTTATTAACTATTCTAAAGCCTTTGACTGTGTGGATTGTAAGAAATTGTGGCAAGTTCTTGGTGGTATGGGGATACCAAGTCACTTTGTCTCCTAAGGAATCTAAGTAGCAACAGTAAGAACAGATAATGGAACAACAGACTGGTTCAAGATTGGGAAAGGACATATGGTAGGACTGTATACTCTCACTCTACTTATTCAGCTTGTATGCAGAACACATCATGCGAGGTTGCAGGGCTTGATAAAATTGCTGGAAGAAACATTAACAGCCTTAGATATGCAGATGATACCACTTTAATGGCTGAAAGCGAGGAGGAGCTGAGGAGCCTTCTAGCCAAGGTGAAAAAAGAAAGGGCAAAAAGTTCAACATCAAAAAACCAAGATGATGGCAACCAGACTGATTGATAACTGGCAAATAGAGGGGAAAATTGTGGAGAGACTTTTTTTTTCTAGGCACATAGATGACTGCCGACGCAGACTGCAGCCAGGAAATCAGAAGATGTTTTCTTCTTGGGAGGAGAGCAATGACTAATCTTGATAAAATAGTGAAAAATAGAGACATCACACTGGCAATGAAGGTCCATGTAGTTAAAGCAATGGTATTTCTTGTAGTAACCTATGGATGTGAGAGCTGGACCATAGGAAGACTGAATGAAGGAAGATAGACGCTTTTGAACTGTGGTGCTGGAGGAAAATTCTGAGAGTGCCTTGGACTGTGAGAAGATCCAACCAGTCCATACTCCAGGAAATAGAGCCCAACTGCTCACTGGAGAGAAGGATATTAGAGGTAAAGATGGAATACTTTGGCCACATCATGAGAAGACAGGAAAGCTTGGAGGAAAGAATGATGCTGGGGGAAATGGAAGGGAAAAAGGAAGAGGGGCTGACCAAGAGCAAGATGGATGGATGGTATCTTTGAAGTGACTGGCTTGACCTTGAAGGAGCTGGGAGCGGCAACCTGACAGGGAGCTCTGGTGTGGACTTGTCCATGAGGTCCATGGAAGCAACTGAACGAATCAACAACAAGCTGTAAATGGAGAAGGAGAGGGAATGTTCCCTAATACTTTCTTGGGAGAAGGAAAAATGCTCCCAAAGAGTCATGACCATTTTCCTGTCTCAAGACAGAAAGAACCATATTTGTGTGTTCTCTTGGTGCCACCATACTTCAGAGGCTGGGGTCAATAAATGTTGGGTTGACTCACTCTAATCTCGGGGGTTGTATTTAGAATCATAGACTTGGAAGAGTCCACAAGGGCCACCCAATCCAGCCCCATTCTGCTGTACAGAAAAGCGCAATCTGAGCACTCCTTACACATAGCCATTCATTCTCTGTTTAATAAATCATCCAGAGGAGGAGACTCCACTGGACTCCCAGGCAGCAGACTCCACTGTCAAGCAGCTCTTACCTCCAGGAAGTTTTCGTTTCCTGCTATTTGAGTCCATTGCTCCATTGTGCTCTAATCTCTAGAGCAGAAGAAAACAAACTTTTCCCCTCTTCAGTGAGACATCCTTTCAGATATCTAAACATGGCTCATTTCCCCTCTCAAACTTTTCTTCTCCAAGCTAAACATAGGAATTCAGA